TCTACGTTCAGGCATCTATGTAGGCCCAGTGTACTGGCCCCATGGAACTGGAGGTGCAGAGGAACTGACACAGACTCGATGCCCATGATGTCTACTGCACCATGAATAATAAATAGATACACAGCTTTGCAAAAGACCAAGAAATACGTCAAGGAATGTCCATAAATAAACAATAGTTTACTTTCTTGGAAATGATGTGAGAAAGACCAACTGGATTATATAAGGAAGAAAGTGAGACCACGCAAGGGTTGTTGGGCTAGAAGATAGTCTAGCTGCCTAAATTGGGAAGGTCATTTGCCTTTACTAATTCTCAATTTTCACATCTGTACTATGTGGATACTGCTTTTCATTCTGCTTGTTCCAAAGGGTTGACATTTTAAAAGAGAGAAATATACTAGCATCTGTGAAAGAATTTTACCTAACCTAACAGGCACAATAAACACTATCTGGGTGATGGGCACAGTTTTAACCCTCATTCAAGCATTATAAAAGTGATCCACATAACCAAAAACATTTGTACCCCATAATACTTTGAAATTAAAAAAAAAATGAAAAATTAAAAAAAAAGAATTTTAAAACCGTATGTGAATTTTTTTTTTTTTTTGAGACAGAGTCTTGCTCTGTCATCCTGCCTAGAGTGGTGTGGCATCAGACTAGCTCACAGAAACCTCAAACTCCTGGGCTCAAGGGATCCTCCTTCCTCAGCCTCCCGAGTAGCTGGGACTACAGGCACACACCACCATGCCTGGCTAATTTTTTCTATTTTTAGTAGAGACGGGGTCTCCCAATTGCTCAGGCTGGTCTCAAACTACTGAGCTCAAGCCATCCTCCCGCCTCAGCCTCCCAGAGTGCTAGGATTACAGGTGTGAGCCACCGCACCCGGCCATATGTGAATTGTTGCTCTCAGCAATGGTGAGTTAGACAAGCTTCCAGGCAAGAACAAGGAAAACAAACTAAATAAAACATTTTTTAAAAGTCTATTTGAAGACTTCAGAGAGCCACCAAGGGGAAAAAAAAAACAAAACGGCTTTAGGAACCAAGATTTATGAGAGAAGAAAAACCCAGAGGAACAAAACTTGCCATCTGATTCCTCTGCCTTCTTTTGGAAGGCATTTACTGATTTTAACACAGCAGCTGACAGGCTGAGAAGCTGAACAAGGTTTCTGGCCATAACACATAGTTGAGAGGACAGAAGCTGGCATTCAAGGTCTGTCAAGGAAGAAGAGCACTGGTAAAATCCCTGGCTTAAAGTTGGGTCCTTTAAAGAGTAAAACTCTGCGAGTAAACTAACTGATGAGCACACACATGTGCACACAGAGAAGTAGATCGCTAAGGAAATCAAGGGATGTGGGTGCTGGGACAGACGGGATGGGCAAAAACCTACCTAATGGACACAGTGAACACTATCTGGGTGACAGGCACACTTTTAACCCTGACTTGAGCATTACAAAAGCAATCCATGTAGCCAAAAACATTTGTACCCTTATAATATTAATAGTTTGAAAAAAAAAAAAAAGAGAGACTTGACAAGAAATAGACCAGCCATCAAGAAGTCCAGCTTTGACCTGGCCCACTGTATTACAGGGATCTCTTTCTTACCTTAAATGACTGCCAGAACAAAAGGAAGTCTGCTCTTTTGGAAGGTAACAGCAATCAAAGCCTCAAATTCTAAAATCTTTTATATATAATCTTTGGCAACATTAACAAGCAAAAATCAGGCAAGCAAAAGCACAAAAAGAATGCAGAAAAAAGAAATTTTTAAATTCACAAGATATTCAGATACTGAAGTGATCAGACAAATATCAGGGAAAAAATTCTTTTGCTTTAATCAGAAGACTTTACAGGTATGGCTAAATTAGTTGTCTTAAAATATATTTTCTGAAAAATAAAAATTGAAAATTTACTGTTCAAGCAAACCACTTCATACTTTGTCCACTTTAATAGCTCAACTAAATGATGTTGAGTTTTAAAGAGTTATGACCAGATTGGGAAATATTAAACAGAAAACTTCTGGAGCTTTTTTCTTTCCATGATGTCATAATTGTGTAGGTTTACTTTTGTTTTTGACTTCTCCTGGACACAAAAAAATCACTGATTTTACTTCAGAATTTCTAGTTGGTTGTCCCATGTACTTTACTATTTAAATTCTACATGAAATAGTATATTTTAATTGGATTTTGACTATGTTTATTTATTGTAAGCCTCATAGAATAGACTTTTTGCTAATTAAATACAACCATTTTGACTATAATGGACTAATATAGTTATCTCTTCAACAACTATTCCATTAGTTCATTCATTATGTACTATTAGAGTCACCATTAGACCAGGAATAAATTCTTATCATCACAATTAAATAAATTTAGTTTTGACCTAAGTATGAAAAAAAGAGACCACATTATGATTTTTTAATTCTCAACAAAGAAAACAATACATTGGATAATAATGCAGGATATATTTTCAGTTTGATACAATTTAAAGATAACTGTAGAATTAAGTCACTTAATGGAAAGACCAAGTTCTTTTCAGCTTTGTCAATGATATGGATGACAACATTCAGAGAAAAAAAAGTCTTTCTAGAAAACCACTAGAGTTTGCAGAGAAGTGGAGTGCTTTACTAGCTGTCTGCCATTCCTTAGATGTATTCTGTTAAATCTGAATATTTTATCAATTTACCTCCGTTAATGAAATTTATCAATAGCATTTAGTTTTCATTTTTATCTAGACCTGAATGAAATTTCATCCCAAATTCTTTCATGGAAGAAAGGTTGGGAAGAATGGAAGGAGAGATCTTTGATTCCAGATTAAGTCAAACAAATAGAGGTAGGTAAATAAATAGTAAGCACTACTGGTAGATGATCACTTCAATGTGGCATTCCTGACCTGCACTGATGTATAATTAAAAAACAAGAGATTTCTCTCTGATAGACCATATCAGCAGAGAAATATGCAAGGTCTCCTTAGAGAGATCTCGTAGCTCCAAAGCCAGCAGGATCTTGACTATAAACTGACTTAATTAAAGTACCTAAACAAGGACTATGTCCATGAAAGAGTCCACTAAAGAGGTGTTACAAAAGGAGCCATTATAGGCAAATTCTGGCAATACTCAAATAAGACTCTAGAGGAGTCTTGTCTAAGCACATGGGAAAATGATGGTTTTAGAACAAGACTATCTTTAGAGTGTAGCATAGTTGTCTAAGCTCTCTTAGCAACATAAAATAGTTTCAAATTTGTTCTGAGATTCAGAGAGGTTAAGGAAATTATTCTATTAATAGGTTAGTTATTAATCCTTAAAAGGTAGAGTTAGGATTCAGAACTGTGAGTCTAACTATAAAACAAACAACTGCCACCAGAACTATGTTTTTAGGTTCTCATTATTCTTAAAATATGAAAATAGTCAACATGTTACAATTTTAAAAGTCTAATATTTTGTTTAAACTGTTCTGAGGAAGTTTCAACATGCACATGAACAAAATTATACATCTGTTAAAGGTACGTATGTAATTCTAATCAAGCTGGGCCATTTTGCTGCTTCTCATCTGAAGATCCAAATCTTCAGGTAACTTTGAAAACAGACAGTACTTCTGAAAAACAATATGAATACTTTTTTAAAGCTCTTGAAAATGCAGTAAATTCAACTAGGTGGAGTGGGGTGGGAAGGAAGATATCTTAGTCCATGCAGGCTGCTATAATAAAATGCCATAAACTGAATGGCTTATTAACACCATACATTTATTTGTCATAGTTCTGCAGTCTGGTAAGTCCAAGATCAGGCACCAGCGGACTCGGTGTCTGGTGAGGGCCTGCTTTCTCATAGAGGGCACCTTCTCCTGTGTCTTTACATGGTAGAAAGGGGAAGGCAGCTCTCTGGGGCCTCTTTTATAAGCACACTGATCCCATTCATGAGGGCTCCACCCTAGGACCCAACCACCTCTCAAAAGTCTCATCTCCTAATACTGTCACCATGGCGTTAGGATTCCAATATGAATTTGGAGGTGGGGGGAACACAAACTTTCAGACAATAGCAGAAGGGAGGAGTGTTCATCTTCCAATAAAATCAAAACTAATCCATTCTCTTTAGAAATCTTTCTCTTCACAGTCTATTCATTGCAGCAGTTGCTCAATCATTCAGTAAATACATAGGGAGCCTTTACAATGATCTAGGCATTTGGACTATTATCAGTGGTTCTCTCTGTCTTTCTTTTGTCTTCCCCCCAACCTGTAGCCCACTTTTACCCCATTAATCAAGACTTTCCATCAGTGCACAGCATCTTATTATGTCTAATATACACCTATTTAGTCTCTACGTCTTCTTCCAATTCCATTCTTTTGTGATTACCTGATAAGTGTAACAAAAGGTTTCCAAGAGCCCATCAAGGCAAACAGAATTCTCCTGAGAAGGTGGAGAAGTTGGAATAACTATACAAACCCAAAGCTTGTGTGTCTTGTACAAATAGTTTGCCTATATTACACTCCGCCAGATTTTCCATTCTCAAACCTCTGCCTCTAGTGATGAACATATGAACAGAAAACCAAAATTGGCAATAATTGGCTAAAACAGAAGATGTTTTACTCTGTAATGTGGAAGTCTTTATATATATATATTACTAAAGAAAGTAAGTTTAAAAATAATCACTTAAAGAGTACTGATTTTTATGAGCTTTTGGATCATAATGGAGATCATTGTTATAGTACATGTCTAACTTTCTATAATTTTTATAAATATGATTTTAGAAATTCTGTTTTTTTATTGAGGAGGTAAGTGCTTGCAAAGGTAAATACTGTAGTGTTTTTATTTTTACTCCAAGTTTCCATCTACTTTTATCATATTGAATACTACCCACCTTCCTTCGACATTCTTCTTTAGATTTATTTTAGTAGAATTTATCAACTAGTATAAACTGTCATTATAAAAAATGTCAGCAGAAATTTCCGTTAGATTATTTTTTGGTGGGCAAAAGCAAATCTTTCTGTGGTTAGATTTTTCAGGACCAACTCACCTATCAAACAGTTCTCCTCCTGTGACGAGTTCTAGGACCAGACTGATTTCTGTAGGGGTTTCAAATATCTCTTTAAGTTTTATCTGGGGAAAAATATAAAAAAAAAAAATCACAAATTTCTTCTTTCCATCTTTCTTGGAAATAGCTAAAGCTATAGCTAAAACCACACTCTGCAATAGTAATATGTTGTTAATAAAGGCTCCTCATTCTATTAATAGTATTAGGAAGCTATTTGGCACTCTTTGCGGGTTGTTGATTTTATCAGTTACATCATTTTGCTCAAAGGTCCTATAGAATTTTGACTTTTTCTTTTTTTTACAATTAAAAAAATCCCTGCCTTAGAAACACTTCTTCACTTTTCTAAATCATCTCAATTTCTGAATTGCTCCCGAATCAAAAACAAAACCAATAAAACTTCCTAAACCATTTGAAGGCATCGTGATTAAGAGAAATGCAAAATGTCTTTTTCTCTTGGAAATGAAAAACTTGAAATTGGGGGTCTGAGGAGGGCAGGACCAGGGTAAAATCTGTCTGTGTGTAAAAGACACCCCTCAAGAGCTAAAAAGTTGTTGGTGCACAAAGCATCCTCAAAAATGTAGTGGTGGCAGTGATTTGATTGACCATAACAGGGTTTTCTCCACATTCAGAGAATCTAACCAATCTGGGGTATTTTTCTCTATACATCCAGGAATCTAGTAGCAACTAGGATTGAACTGTGTTTGAGGAAGATTCCATGTTGACTTCTCTTTGGAAATAAAAGTGATGGCTAACGTAAAAGAGGTAGCTTTTATTAATTGATTACCCAAAGCCCTTTACCCCTACCTTTTACAAACAGAACCCCAATTTTGTTCAGAGAAGCAAGGTGCCTCGCCCCCATGGTGGAGATCATGAATGATTCAAGCCACTAATTTCCCAGTCTCCATGCAGTTAAGGGTGATCTTGTGACCAGCCCTGGCCAATAAAGTTTGCAACTGCCACAGGAGTTTCTGAGAAAGCTTTTTCTCTTCTCATCAGACTCTGCCGGTGAGACTTTTGCATCTCCTTCCTGTCTCAAAGATAGACCTAAAGTCTATCTCATGACTTTTGTGGCGCGGACATTTTAGGCCCAGGAGGGAAAAACGTGAGGGTGAAAGTAAATGCGCTGAGGACAGCAGAACCGAGAATGATATCTGGGTTCTGTGAGTGCAGTGGCGTCACTGAGGAGCTGAGCGGGATGCTAGAAGCTACCTGCCTTCTGTTGCTTGTAACAGAAGAAAAATATTTGTTTAGACTACCATATTCAAGTTCTCTGCTATTTATAGCTGAATGCATCCCTAACTCATATATTCAGTTTTAAGCCCTTTGCCTTGAGCCTAAGCATCCTCCTAGACATCACAGCTTCCTGAGAGAAATGAGCAAAATATTTTCTTTGAGTAGATGGCTTAATTCATAAAAAAAAAAAAAAAAAAAACAACTCGTGGCCTGAAAATGATTTTGTTCTTTTTCACTTCATTGGTTCAAGAAAGCTTTTCACTAGACCTTTTCCTCAGAGGCTTTGTCTGGACACAGCCTAAAGCAGAGCTTCTGAGGACATTTTATTTTCCCCATTCAAGAACATCGTTTATTTGCATCTTCACTTTGTTCTCGAAGCAGATTCTCTCAAGGGAGACTGAAATGACTCTGGAAAAAAATACATTTTCTTCATGGGCTTTTTCAGCAATGGCATATTAATAAGCTAGGCACACAAAAGGAGGAAAAAGCCAGTGTTTTATTAGAGTGAAACAAAACTCTTCCATTTTTGTCCTTTTATGCATAAACATGAAGATGGTATATATTGCAGACCTGTCCATTTTGGAACTTTTTCAGGGCTACCATGTGTAAGATTTATTCAGCCAAAGAATTGAAAATGTGATGAGATGAGGACATGGTGGCTACCACTGGTGACAGAATCCCCTTCTCATTGTCAGCATGGACAGTGAAGGACAAAGATCTCATACAGCTTTGGACGTTATTTGAAATAGTAGGTTAAAAACCACTTACAATGTTTGGATGTGAGAGGCGAAGAAGAACTCCTATTTCAGTTCTTACGATTTTTTTGTCCACCTAAAAAGCAAAATAGAAGAGATAAACTGAAAGGAACTCCTCCCTTAGAAATAACTTCATTGCAGCAGAGAATCAGAACAGCAATAACTACCTGGGTGAATCATGTAGTTGGCAGAGGCTAAGTCCTAAGCTTTTCTCTAGTGTTTCCTTCCTCCCCTTCCTTTTCAGCTATATGTCCTTCCTCTTTGCTTCAGGCATGAGGTAGAGCCAGTAACTAACATGAATCGTAACTTGTCACACTCCTTGCATGGTGTCCTCCCTCCTTTCTCAACAAAAGTCATCATCATCACTATCACCACGAAGGCACAAGTTCATCTCAGCCTATCCCCCTTCCTTCTCTTCCTTTCTTATATGGAAGTCTCTGTCTCCACCCCATCACTTCACCTGCCTTTCTCACTTAGAGAATATGCACAACCCAGCCTAGCCAATCAGAGTCCCCTATTCCCTGGCCATAGTGATAAGGCCAGGGGTGTCTACCAGATTCACGTCATCCCTGTCAGGGTCCTCTCCAGAAATTTTGCTCAAATAAACAAGAAAGACGTATTCTCTTTTTCTCTGAAATTGTGAGAACAAAAGAGGATAGAGTCGGCTGCTCCCAGTGACCATTGTTTATACCTTGTGGTGACCACTTCCTGAAAATGAAGCCAACACAGGAAAAAACATCACGGAGATATGAAGAAAAAGTGCTGTGGATATAATATAATTCAGTCGCCTGAATTCAGTTATGCACAAGCTGGTTCTGCCCTTTGAACTTTCTAATTATATGAGCCACTAAATTTCCTTTTTCTGCTTAAGTTATCTAGAGTTAGTGTCTGTCACTTGCCATTAAAAAACTCTAGTTAGTTTACCTTTACCACTTGGTCCATTTGGGCTAATGGCCGTTTAGGATATTCCAAAATTAGGGATACTCCCTCTCTCTAGGCTAATGATTGACCCTTTTAATCACAATGAATGAGCTGGCCTCTCAGATCTCTAAAAGTCATATACCAGACAGAAAGTTTTTAGTGTCCTCCTCTACCAACAGAATCCATCAAAATAATGTACAAATAAAACCTACATTCTTACTGTGGTTTCTGCCATCTAAGCTGTCCAGAACACTTGGACTGGCAGAGTTCATATGATTTTAGAAATGAATATGAAGTTTATGTGCAATTCATAGCCAAACTCTGTGAGCAAGAGACTGCTTCAAATGGTGAACGGGTTCTACTCTTTAAGTTACTTCTCTGGAGGAGGAAAGAATTGGCCTTAGTAGAAATCTAATCCCATTTCAATGGCAATAACCAATCACAACTTTTAAGATAATGAAGAACAACATCCATTTATTTAATTTTTATTATCTAATGAAAACATTAACTTTCAAGCACACATTCTTCAAAAACAAAAAAGGCATTTTACAAACTGTGTATGTTCTTTTCCTTGCCTGCATCATATAAATATATTTACATTTATTTTCTCTGGCAAATATAATTTTGCCAGACCCTAGAGTACCTTAATTAAAGAGAGGAGTCACCATGTATAAATGTTTTTAGTTTTTATGACAAGGAAAAAATATTTACAAGGAGATAGTAAAGAGTTCCTACCCCAATAAGAGATTTCTCAAGAGTCTATTTCACCATTGTACATAATAAAGCATTAAATGGCCATACAGTCATGGTAAGGCCTCTTAAACTATAATAAAAGTTTTGGTCATTCATGTAGGCAATTTTAGGAGGCTCAGGATGTTGTAATAGATTTTTGCCAAAGAAAAATCAAACTATTAAAATCAACTTGCAATACTACCAAACAAAAATGGATTCTACTTATGTTGAATGGATGCCAGTCAGTGCAAAGCAGCACACTTCTTAAAATATTCATAACCATCCCATGTAAAAATACAGCATCAGCTATACATTCTGAATAAGAAGGGGATGAAGATATGATCTGTACATTTCAATACCTGACAACTGATATCAAGTAGTTACATAAGAGGGAAGATTCATTGGGAGCAGAGAAAAGCAAGTTGGTAAGAAACAACCTAGCTCAAGTGACTGCACATCGAGTTGATAGGCTCTGGGCCTAAAGGCAGGCCCACATCTTGATGCATCCAGTGCTCTATGACTCAAGAAGTTTGGAAGCCGCTTTACCTGTCTTCCTCAGACACTAAACCATAGCTACTTTGGATGATTCAGACTACATATTGACCAAAAACTCTTTTAGTCGCATGTAACACATCCCCAACTCAAACTCACTTAAGACAAAAGGTCAATAATTGGCACATGTAACTGGGAAGTCAGAGTGGATCTATCTACACACATAGCCAAAATCAAACGTTCATACTCAATGCATTTCTCTCTTCTTCCTATTTTCCTCCTCTTTCTTCTCTCTTTCCTCCTCATCCTTCTTCCTTTCTCTCCCTCTGTCACCCTGTGCATGTTTTGTGTCTCTGTTTCTCTCCCTCTCTCCTTTCCAAATGGCAGGAAATATGGCCATAGAAGCTCCAAGTCTATATTTCTCAGGCTCACATTTCAAAGGAAAGAGACTCTCTCTCTCTACATCTATCTAATCTCAAGTAGAGTTCTTGGCCTTGCTTGTTTTCTGTGCCTACTCTTGTACATAGGAGACATATAACCATGACAAGACCAAGCATGGGTCAGGGGCCCTCTCCTTTGACCACTGCGTTGAGGGAACTGGGGAGGCCTCGTTCTCCTAAGAAAGGATGTGGGCAGACACTGAAGACGCCCTTACTGTTTGCTTTTAATATTTGTTCCCCCCTTTTTACACTTGCATAAGATCATGAAGTATTACTTTCTCTGCTTTTTCCATGTCCCAGACCAATCAATAAATAATTAAAAATTATTCATTTGTAATAACCCTTGCTACCAGTAGATTTAATATTCAAGGTTTTGACCACATGCCAGACCAGTAGATTTAATATTCAAGGTTTTGACCACATACCAGAAGCCCAAATGGGCCCTACCAAATAGTAATTTAGAATTCTTACTAGAAACTCTTTTGAATCCAAACTGAAAAGCTGAAGTATGGCGACTGCTTAGCTGGTGAATAAGCCTACCAGACTACCTCGCATATGTACTTCCTTTCTGCTATGTTATTCTATAATTCTTGGCAGTAACCTTGGTAATTGTTTTGCCGTTACTATTAATAGTAATGTAAGTTGAGGAAAAGCAAAGAAGTCTTAGAATATGATGGCTCTAGCCAGTATGAAAGTTTGGAGTAGAAATTAGGATAAAGAAGTTCATGAAATCTATGTTTTGTGGTATAGAAGTGGATCATAACTTTCATCATATTATCAAAATACTTGAGGCAGAGAAAACATAAAAATTTAATTTATTTAAAAGCAAGGAAATGTGTTTCATGGAACTGGTGATTCAAGGATCCCTGAAGGAATGACATTTATATGTAATGATTGTATAGTACATAGTAAGGGTCTGACACAGGCTTTATGTGCTCAGCCCTATATTAAACAACTGAGACATATGAAAAAAAAATATGGTCTTTCCCAGAGGTAGATTACAATCTAATTTGGGGGATCAGACTCATCTACATAATATTATCAGAATATAATGAAGGACAGTAAAGGAAAAATGCAAGTTGCGAACAAGTTTTGTTTTAAAAGTTCCATTGTTACAGTGGTAGATCATTTTTCTGAATCTAAATACTGCTCATATTTAAACAGTGGGCTTATTCTAAAAGACTTTTGACATTACCAGCCATTTTAAAAATCACACTATTGTTAATGCAAAATGAAGAACGATTTGCTGGATTTTGCACAGGGTACCTAAAGATGGTATGATATGTGGATTGCAGGTGGCCGGTCAGTGATATCAGGCAACCCAATCATGGGATGTAGACAGCATGGTCCAGGAGGTAGTGGAATAATAGAACAAAGCTCTAAAAGTTCTTTAATTTAGTGAAAAAATTATTAATTTCATGAAAATTTGCTACTGAGCAAGACACTCCACTTGTACAAAATGTGAGAACTTTGAAAAAGAGAGGCATTGCTAGAACAGTCAGATGACAAGAACAGATCTCGTCTAAAGAGCTCTTCCTCACTTTCTATTTCAGTTTTTGCAGATGCTGTTGAAGAAAATTCTGATACAGAATATTTTTATCACCATCTTCTCTTCACATCAACAAGGGTTTCCTTGCTAATACAAAATAAATGTATTTAATATATTTGTCATTATTGCACAATTCTTTAAAAAATGTTTGTGGACATGGGTGTCCCTAAAATATGATTCTTGGCATTAGGATTTATTTTTCTCACTGCACATTTAGGGTTTATGTAATAGAGGTCTTTACTCCTCCATCTTCATATATTTCTGAACAATGTAAAATGGTAACAGGTAGTGGAATCCTTTAATTTTTTCACATGACATATTTATGTTAAACAAATATTTTCTAATATAAATAAAACATTTTGTAGCACTTCATTTTTTTACCATGTTATGTAATACATATTACATATTGGGATGCCTTTTCTTTTTAGTTCTTTGAGAGTTAAATTATCCAAACTCTAAAAATACTCAGAACAGACCAGATTGCAAAAAGTCTGGGCTAGCAATCCTCTAGCGTAATCATTTGCTTTGAATTCAGAATTAACTTTCCTTTAAAAACAATTTTTAAAAGGGTAATTATTTTTACAGTATGTTCTATATTATTGTCTCAACACAGGATGTGGACTCAGGGCCCTTCCAGGTCTCTTAGACACTCTCAAGGCATGTGTGAGGTTCTCCCTTTTCCAATTGTGCATCTGAGTGAAGCCAGATTTTTTTCATATACAGTCAGCCCTCCGTATCCATGAGTTCTGCATTTCAGATTCAACCAACCATGGATCGAAAATATTTTTAAAAATAACAATACAACAATAAAAATGATACAAATAAAAAATGCAGTAAGCAACTATTTACATAGCATTCACATTGTTTTAGGTATTATATTTAAAGTATAGAGGAGGGTGTGTGTAGGTTACATGCAAATATTACAGCATTTTATAGTATAAG